AACTACAGACGGGGCAGCCACCGGTTGGCATTTCGCAACTGCCATTTGCCTGTTTCTTTGCTTGGCCAACAATTGGTAGCTGAAATGCTAGCTTATGCCTCTTGCAGGTCCCAAATCCCAACCATGTTTCATCCAGCATCTCATTTCCCTTGATATGCATGGATGCCTCTTGATCTTTGCTACCAGAGATGGATGCCCAGAGAGCCCTCACCTCGCTTCTGGGCCGGCTCACCACTGTCCTTGTCAACGAGGCACAGCTGCTTGGAGGCATTCGGGGTGATGTTGAGTTCATCAAGGACGAGATGGAGAGCATGAATGGTCTGCTCCTCCACCTCGCCGAGGCCAACCATCACGACCACCAGGTGCGGGCGTGGATGAAGCAAGTCATTGGCCTGACCCGCGACTGCGACGGAAACGTCGAGCTCTACATCCAGTATGTTGCAGGTTCTGGCCACCAGACCACAGGCCTACTGGGCTACCTTCGGCGGATCATCCGATTTGTGTGGACCATCCCAGCTCGGCGCCGAGTTGCGACGCGGATTCGGCAGCTCAAAGTCCGAGCGCGCGATGTGGGTGACACGCGGATGAGGTATGGAGTCATCGTGCCATCTGCTGCTGACCAAGACGATGCAATATTCAATGCAAACTTCTTGGATCCATTGGTGGCAGGCGAAGAGGAAGATGTTCATAGACGCGCTCTATCTGCAACAGACGTTGAACCGCCAGATGATGTGAATATTCTTGTAAAAGAAAGCATCGATCAGATGATCGAGTGGTTGAAGCCTTGAAGGAAGCACCTGTTTCTGTTGGAGATCGTGAACCACAGCCGAGGATCATCCCTATCCTATGGAATTCACACAATCCAAAGGAAGAAGAAGACTTAGCAGTCCGTCTTGCACAAGAAGTGTACCAACATCCCTCCTTGGTGGCCTCATTTGATTGCAAGGCCTGGATACGCGTCGGAAGGAGCTGTGATCTACACCATATATTGCAGGAAATACTTGTAAAAGTAGAACCCCTTCCAATTCCAGATGGAGAAGAAAACACACTGAGGACCGATACGGAGCGCGCGTACGTACGCGCATACAAAAAGCTGTTCGGCCCAGCCTGTTAGTAGTTTAGTATGTCGTGGAGGCCCATCTCATTCGTTCTTTCGTATCAGTCTCGCAGACCAGAGATGAGGGGCCGTTCCCGCCGCAAGAGCCTACCATCCAAGTGGGGGATCCTCTGTCCTCCTCTTCTCGTCACCTCCCACCTCCAAAGATGCAGTCGTTCCCTCGAGACTGACCAAGAAAGACTCGCCTGAATCAACAGATTGAATCTCGTGGCAACTGAGAATGAAGGAGGAAGTGCAGCAGAGCAGAAGAAGCTCATGAGGTAAGCCAGTCATGCATCCACCTTTTTTATTTTTTTGCTTTTCGAGCAGGATGAGGATGAATTTCATCCTGATAATCACATAATTCTGTTTTTTCTTCCTTGCATCGTGTCTACTGCAGGATGAATTTATGTAAACATTCTGCTACTCGATGGCCTGAAAATACCAGATAACAACTAAAGTACAGAAAATGCAGTAGCCAACATATTGAAATGATAAAATGAAGTACCTAAATCTACTATTATTGTCGAAAACACTCTTAAATTATGGGACGGAAGGAGTAGATAAAAAGTAAAGTACCGAAAATGAAAACCTTATATGTCAAAATCCTTCATACATTAGAGGATGTGAGGTAAGGCCAGAGGCCACAGTACCCTTGTGTAACACGTCAGCGGATTGAGCCAATTATTGAGGCAAAATCATGGACCACACAGTTTTTAACACACACTTGTTGCTTTGCTCTCACCCATATACCAAGCCAATATTTTGTAGAGTGGTTTGGTCCATGGCTTTAATAATGTTCCCATCATAGTTGTTGACAAGAAAGAAAAATCCTGTGGCAACTTATCTGTAAACTTTGGATACGTCTTCCAGCAGCATCTTCTAATAATAAGGAGCTTTAAAATTCCTTAAATGGGCAATTAATGCCATTAATTCTCAAATGGCTCATTTTTTCTGGGGTAATATAGATGATCAACATAAATACCACCTGGCCAACTGGGGTCTGGTTACTAGAAAAAAGGAATTTGGGGGACTCGGTATCCCCAACTTGAAAGAATTCAACACGGCCCTTTTGGCCTCATGGGGAAAACGTTTCTTTGAATCTAATGACAGTGATTGGAAAAAGATTGTGGCTTTTAAATATAACACTCACTCGCCGAATATTCTGTGGGCCAAGCAAAAAGTTGGGTCTCCCTTCTGGAAAAGTGTGACCTGGGCTTTAAATGCTTCAAAAACTTTCTATGTTTGGAAGGTGGGAAGAGGTGATAAAATAAGTTTTTGGCATGATACGTGGGCTTGGGATTGTTCCCTAAGAACTATGTTTTGGGACCTGTTTGAAATTTGCAACCAGCCTCAAGTGTGGGATGGGACTACTCTGAAACTTACTTTTAGGCGATGTGTCGATCTGAGGGGGATGCTTAGGTGGAATCAATTACAAGACCACATTAGGGATTCCCCCCTGTCTACCTCCCCAGATTTGCCCATCTGGTCTCTTGAATCTAAGGGGCTGTACTCAGTTAAATCTTTCTATGAAGCTATAAACTTTGGGGGAATTGTTTCTCCGATTGGAAAATCTCTTTGGAAAGTTTTGTGTCCTCAAAGTATTCATGTTTTCATGTGGCTTTGTGTGTACAATAAAGTTCTGACCAGAGATAATTTGAACAAACGTAGACAGGTGGAAGACCTCTCCTGCCTGTTTTGTAGAGAAAATGAGTCCACTCAACATCTATTTTTTGATTGTGTTGTGGCCAAATGTATCTGGTCGCTGGTCTCTGAGTTTTTTAATGTGCAACCTTTTACTTGTTTTGAAGACATATGTGATGTGTGGCATTCTTACAAATGTAAACCTGTGCTCAACCTGGTCACGGCTGCATCCTTGTGGAGCATTTGGAGGCTAAGGAATGATTTCTGTTTTCAGGGCCGCTCGTGGAGAGGCTTGAATTGCGTCCTTGTCAAGTTGAAAAATGTGCTTCTGCGCTGGGGGGTACTCTGCGACGACACCCAAGCAGAGCTGCTGCGAAGATGTATTCTGTTGCTCGACAAACACCGGGGGGAGCTCCTGCGGATTACCTGGACCTGATCTCCGGTCGTCGTCAGTAGACAATTAGCTTTCACTTTTGGCCCTTGCCTTTGGGTTTTGTAATAAAAAGAACTTCATGTAGGCTAAAGTGTTTGCTAGTTTCTGAGGCTGTTTAGACCTTCCAGTTAGTTCTGTTTCTAGTCTGCCTGGTGGTTGCCTGGTGTGGGCTGTGTGGGGATCCAGCTGTTAAGCTTGTATTCCGAATCTGGTTTTCTTTGCTGCTTCAATAAAATGGGGCAGGGGGGAAACCCCTTTCATTCAAAAAATAATAATAATAAGGAGCTTTAGTCTATTTGTGTGCAGGACCTACATCTCACCTCTCTGCTTCAAGTGCTATTCATGTCCTCCTGAAACAAAGATCCCCTTCTCCACGGGCACTGGGCAACATCTGAAACTCACCGTCACTTTGCAGCACCGCAGCACGGCTTCTCCAGGTAATGAATGACTGTTTCTCTTCTTGCCGGAAAAAACAAATTAATTTCTCAACAACATAGTGAAAGTAGTCTGCATGGTTGCAAGCAAAGTGACAAGGGAACGAGGCAATACCTCCGATGTCGATGAATTCAGCTTCTCGCAGGAACCTCGCATCCACCGTGCCGCCGCGGGCGTTGAGGAGAACGATGCGTGACGCATGCCGGTCTCGGCAAACTTGATCTGCTGCGCTGTCTCAATTCTCAAAGTCAGCCGCGTACGTGACGCGCCAACGTAGGTCGCAAGCCATCTCCCCCTGCCCTCGTAGCCAGGTACTAATGTACTTTCGGCGCATTTTGTCAAATCAAAAGAGAAAAAGTTGTGAGTCATGACTACAGAGTACTTAACTAGTCAACAATAGTACTATATTGCCCCTTTTTCCACGGCCCGCAAGTCGTTCCGCGGTAGCTAGTCATCTTCAATGAATCGTTCCACTATAACTAGCTAGTCAGTCAGTGGGACCCAAGATGCATGCATCCGGCGTACTACTAGATGCTAGAAGTACTATATCGCTCTCCAACGTTCCTCTATACTCCAAGTAGCATGGTTGGCTGATGCGAATCGCGATCCAGTACGCGTCGTTGATGCGCTGCGTGCAGATGCCACTGCGTGCAGCGATGCACTTCTCTATATATATAGCACAAACTAACAAGTTGAAGAAGCACCACTGCCGGTGCTATCTATCCCAACACAATACATGCATACACAAGATGAGCACGGCCATGGCATCGCTCGTGCTTGCAACAGTGCTCGTGCTGCCGTTGACAACAATGGCCATGGCACTGACCATGGCTAGAAGAAACTGCTCCGACACCTGTGGTCATAGTAGTGATAGGATACCTTATCCGTTCGGACTAGGTCCTTCATGCTCCTTGCCTGGTTTCAATCTCACATGTACTGTCGACAAGCACACCAACACCAGTTATCTGGTGCTGAACAAGGGCAACTCGCCCCTGGGGCGGTCCCCTTTGTGGATTCCACCTTCGTGTACGCCAATTTTTCCTACTCGGTGAAAATGGTTCCGAGTGTGTCCGCGACTGCTCCATCCACTGGGAAGCTCCAGGTAGGCCCTTCGCCATATCTGGCTCGTCAAACCTGTCCTTGTATATTTTTGGCTGCGGCATTACGGCCTCAATGTTCAGCTCGGCCGTGGAGGTTGGGAGCTGCTCCGCTATCTGTGCCCAAGCTCAGATCATGGAGAAGCTACCCATGGGGCCGTGTGATGGCATCGGATGCTGTTCCATCGACATACGGGTCAACTTGAGGGCCTTCACCCTCAACATCACACGAATCGTCGGTGATTCTGCAGGCTCGACCATGGTGCACGCCGTGGTGCGCAGCAGTCTGTTTCAGATGCACTTCAAGCCAATTGATGCCCTAAGACGACCCTTCAAGTTGCCATCACGAGTGTCCAAATTTGGTAAACTGGAATGGTCTATCCCCTACCAGCCCAACTGCAAGCGCGCCATAGAGGACAGGGCTAGCTACGCATGTGTTACAGTGTTAGTAAGCACAGCAAGTGCCAGGACTCGAGCATCGGTGGATACTTTTGCTATTGCCTACGTCCATGATGGCTGCCCGGAATACCAACCACCTCCGCTGCCTCAACCGCCTCTACCTCCGCCAGGTCAGCAAGTATATGCATGGGACTATTTTTTGGTTTTTGTATATGTACCTTCTTTTCATTGACAGTTCATTCTACAAAAAGTTAATTCCAAATTCACCCCATCCCACACATCAGCAACAGAGTTGTTCTTTTCATCAACAATCATGTACAGATCCCCACACTGTGTAGCAAGGTATAGGAGTACCGGAGGCAAGAGGTCTTAGAGTTCAAAACCCTGATAGCATATAGTATTAAAAAAAATAGACGCGAGAGGACGGGTTGAAATATATTCTACTCCTCTCTTCATCAGTTCGGACATTTTGATGAATTGATTGGAGCATGAATTCAATAGGTAGCAGTGCCCAAACAAAAAACTTACATGTTTACAATCCCCAGTTTTCCATCTTTAATTTACCCCACTGTACAAGCTTGAGAAGCCTAGGCCACTCCTTCAAAAAATGAGAAACATTAATTAGTCCATATATTAGTCCGATGTCTATTAGCTGATAAGTAGTATATTTACAAGATTGTATTATTTTTCAAAGCTGGTTATCTTCCATGTGAGATCTTTTGATCCCAAAGGCCGGCTAACAAGCACAAGTAAATAATCTCCGAGGTTATGAACACCTAACCCACCAATTAAACTCATTTTTGTTTGCCATGCCCTTCCACTATTTTTATTTAATTTTTTCAGACAGTATGAGTTTTATTGCTTTGTTGCCTCAAAAGTTTGGCATTATTTTTAGTGATCATGAACACCTAACCTGCCAAACTCCTTGGCGTTGTGTTTCAACGTCAACAGTTTATGGCTCCATACAAATGCCTGGAAACACCACTTGGTGACCCAGCCTGATCTCTGTTCAATTTTTAGGCAAATGGCGACCTCTCTAGTGGCGCCAACTCTGTAACCCCCACCATGATCACTTGATCATGAATTTTTTTTCCGCATGCTCCCTGCTTAATCAATGAAAAGCCAGCAGTGCTGGATCTTTCAAAAAAAAAAACAGTTTATGGCTCCATCAAGCCTGGAACAGATTGTCCAACATCATGTGGGAACATCGCCATCCCGTTCCCCTTCGGCACAAAGCTAGGCTACTTTGCAGCTGCCCATCTCTACTTAGCATGTATGCCAGGGACCGTTCTTCCTGTCCTTGAATTGACTAGTCGAATGGTCGTAAGTGACATATCTCTTGACGATGGTGTCTTGCACATTCGTGAGGAATCTGAGCCGGACGGTTTCTTCTCTGGATCGGGCTCAAACTCTGCGCTCTACTCCTTGTCCGGGAAATGGGGAGTGGTGAAATGGGCTGTTGACAAAATGGCATGCGAACATGCAAAGCTAGACAAGAGCGAGTACAGATGCTTGAGCTCCCATAGCGAGTGCATCGATGTCACCGATGATGGAACACTCAAACATCTGGGTTACCGGTGCAAGTGTTCTTCTGGTTTTGAAGGAAATCCTTACATCAAGGATGGATGCACAGGTTGTTATATATACACACATGATCTCTCACATTAATTATAGTTCAGTTATATTTGATTGGGGCGAGTAGTCCAGTACACATATTCCATAGTTTCGTATGGATCACCATTCACCACTGATACTCCCTCCGTTTTTGTTTACTTCGCATATTAGAGTTGACTGAAATCAAACTTTCTAAAGTTTGACCAAGTTTATAGAAGAAAATATAAATATTTACCATAACAAATTTATGGTATGTGGGAGTACATTTGATAATGAATCTAATGGTGTTGATTTCTTATTGTATATGTTAATATTTTTGTCTACAAACTTTGTCAAAGTTTATACAGTTTGACTTTGACCAAAGCTAATATGCGGAGTAAATAAAAACGGAGGGAGTACTATATATTATGTGATTTACAGATACCAACGAGTGCCTACAGCCAGATAAATACATCTGCAATGGTATATGCCACAATAAATTCGGGAGCTATACATGCACCAGTACTGTAATATTAGGTAAGCGATTTGTACCACTTTATGGTCATTTCAGTAGTGTTTGTTTGCATTATTGCTTCCATATGTATTTGACTTAAACGGACGGTCAACCCAACCAATGCAGGTGTCAGCATTGGACTAGGCAGTGGTGGTGCAATCCTCTTTCTTGCTGTGATTGCTGCCGTTGTGACGCGGAGATGGAAGAGAAACGTCGAGAAACGTCTGAGAAAGAGGCATTTCCATAAGAATAGAGGCATTCTGCTACAACAGCTCGTCTCTTCAGACGAAAGTGCCAGCGACGGCACGAAGATATTCTCCCTGGATGAGATGCAGAAGGCAACCAACAATTTCGAGCACACTCGTGTAGTCGGGCGCGGGGGGCATGGCACCGTCTACAAGGGCCTCCTGGCCGACCAGCGCGTTGTCGCCATCAAGAAGTCAACGCGTGTGGTGATGAGCGAGATTGACCAGTTCATCAACGAGGTGGCCATCCTTTCGCAGATCAACCACCGCAACGTGGTGAAGCTCCATGGATGCTGCCTCGAGTCAGAGGTCCCCCTGCTCGTCTACGAGTTCGTCTCCAATGGCACGCTCTACGACCTCTTGCACCGCTCCTCCGGGTCGAAGCAGGACGGTGGCGTGTCGCCCTTGTCCTGGAAGGAGCGTTTGAGGATCGCCATCGAGATCGCCGGAGCCCTCGCGTATCTGCACTCCGCAGCTTCTGTGTCCATCCTACACAGGGACGTCAAATGCATGAATGTGCTCCTGACGGACAGCTGCACCGCCAAGGTATCAGATTTCGGCGCATCGAGGCTGATCCCGATGGATCAGACACACCTGGTGACCGCTGTCCAGGGCACATTCGGGTACCTGGATCCGGAGTACTACCACACCGGTATGCTCAACGAGAAAAGCGACGTTTACAGCTTCGGGGTGATCCTTGTTGAGCTGCTGACAAGAAGGAAACCCATCATCGAGAACGAGCAGGGCGAGAAGCAAAACCTATCTAGCTACTTCCTGTGGGCTATGAGGGAGAGGAGGCCTTTCCAGGAGACACTGGACGTGCACATCTTGTTGGAGGAAGGACTCAGCGAGGAAGAGGTCATGTGCGTGGCTCGGTTGGCAGAAGAGTGCCTCAGTCTCACTCGAGGGAACAGGCCTACCATGAAAGATGTGGAGATGAGGCTGCAGCTCTTAACTGGGCGCCGTGTTGCACGGCCGGCCGGCCAGGAACAGGTGGCGCCACTGCCGCGCTGTGGTGGCGATGTCCCAGTGATTGGTGAGCACGGCTCACGACAGTTCAGCCAAGAGCAGGAGTTTGTGTCGTCTCTGCAAGTACCGCGCTAGTTTGTATATGCACGAGGCATATACATACTCCTAGGGCCTTTTTGATTCACGGGATTCCGAAAACACAGGAATAGAAAAGATATATGATTGTAATTTCATGTCCATTTGAATCCTACAGAATTTTTAGCTTGTTTGATTGCATCAAGGGAATGATTCTTTGCAAGAGGTTTGCATGGATGCAAGGAAATTTTCCTATAGGATTCAGTCCGACGAATCAAACAAACGTCGTAGAAAAAAGTGCCTAAGGATTTTAATCCTTCCAAATTTCCATATGAAAATCGTTTGATTTAAGAGGCCCTTAGTTTTGAATAGAAGTCTCATGCCCGCAACATTCAGTTCAAAAACATCGACTTTTTGAACTACTTCTGCTTCGCTGTTTGCGCAATAATGGCAATATGCCATTTATCTTATTATTATGGTCTCTATTCAGGAACTAATTCCTTCAGATTCTGGCTACTTGATCTCTGCTATTAGGCTATGTCTGTTTGAACTGCACTGCATTTGTTAATTTGCTTGTTGTGTGAACCTGGTATCTTTCTGCCATGGTGTGAACTGCATTTGAGATGATATGCTATGTTTCATACTTTTATGTACATACTATTAAAAATAACCGAATTCAGGACAAATTTTAAAAAACGCTTAAGCGGCCATTGCTCTAATCGACAGTCTTTCACTTCGCTTACTCTTCACGGTTTTTGGAACATTGGATATTCAAATGCTCAAGCAAGGAAATCCTGTATATATAGTTCTGTGGTTGATGCATATCCATACTGGTTTTATGTGAACAAGCTTGACAATCACTTTCTGAAGTCTGTTAGCTAGCAGGTCCGTGGATGAGAGGGGAGCGATAAGCTTACGGAAAAAGTTGAGTTGTGTGGAAAAACTGGCTCAATCCATCTGCACCACAAAACATTCTTTCTCGACGAAAAGGAAATGAGTGTAAATCATGGATGGATCTCTAGCCTTATAGCCTCACTGTTCTTCATTTTATTTACTGTATTTACTTAGCAAGCAGATTGCACATCATGTTTCGGGTCTTCGAGTCTAGCAGAACAAGACTTGTACAAAATGAAACTCATTTGGTCGCTTGCTGGAGAAGGGAAAAAAGGGGTGGGGGCGAGAGGCTTACCACATGACAGCTAGCAGATTTTGCCGAGCTTCTGCTCTGCAGTTCATCTGGATCCCAGATAATTAGTAGAAGGAATCATCCTGCACCTCTGCTTCCTCTTCCATCTATTTAGTCACATATATACATTCAGATTCAGCAGTGGACTCAGACGGATATTTCTTGGTTAGTGGATTACTCACCTCCGACAAAAGAGCGCATCCATGTTAGTGGATTACTCACCTCCGACAAAAGAGCGCATCCATGGATTATGATTCAGTTAGTTGGGGCTTCTTACGACATGTCTTGCTTGCTAAAGGCTTTGATGGTGGTGTTGTGCATCGTATCATGCAGTTGGTCATGGGTGGCCACACTGCTATTTCGGTTAATGGGAAAGTAAGCAAATTTTTTAAAAACTCTAGAGGCCTTCGACAAGGGGACCCTGCCTCTCCTATCCTCTTTAACTTTGTTGCAAATGCTCTAGCTAATATTTTATCTAGGGCAGCGGAGTCCGGTCACATCACTCCTGTTAGCTCCCATCTCGTTCCCCAGGGGATTACCCATCTACAATATGCTGATGACACGATTATTATGGTGGAGCTCAACGATCATTGCCTCGCCCACCTCAAGTTCCTTTTGCTCTCTTTCGAAGCCTCTCCGGTCTTAAGATCAACTTCTCTAAAAGTGAGGTCATTGTTACTGGTGTCTCGGATGACGAGGCTTTGCGTGTTGCTCGCCTCTTGAACTGCTCTCTTGGTTCCTTCCCTCTCAAATATCTTGGTCTTCCCATCTCTGCTGACAAACTCCTTGCTAAAGACTTTGCTCCCACGGTGGCCAAAGTGGGCAACCGCATTATGCCCTGGAGGGGCAGGTACAATACCCAGGTTGGTAAAGTTGCCCTGATTAACGCTTGTCTTTCCTCCCTTCCTATGTTCCTTATGGGATTTTATCTTCTTTCGATTGGTACGCACGCCGGGTTTGACAAACACAGAGGTGCTTTTTTACTGGAACTCGGCGGACAACAAGCGCAAATACCACTTGGTCAAGTGGGATTTGATCTGTAGACCCAAAGGCCTTGGGGGCTGGGTATCATCAATACTCTCGTCATGAACAAATGCTTAATTATCAAATGGTGGTGGAAGATCATGACCACTACCTCGGACAGACCTCTCTGGTTTAACATTCTCAAAGCTAAGTACTTTCCTCACTCTAGCCCAATGTTCGCCCGTGCCTCCGGTGCGTCCTAGTTTTGGAGAGATCTTGTTAAGCTTAGACCTACTTTCCAGAGTCTCGTCAAGTTTGTTGTTCACAATGGTAGGTCCACTAGATTCTGGCTCGACTGGTGGTGTGGTTCGACCACGTTGGCTATTGCTTTTCCTACTCTTTTTTCTTATTGTCCTAATCCTGAGATCTCAATCTTTGAGCTCTCTTCCAATAATTGGATCTGCAACTCCGTCGCACTCTTTCTCCTGAAGAGTTGGTGGATTGGCAGCGCCTTGTTGCCTTCTTCCCTGTGCTCTCGAAGGAGGAGGACTCGGTGGTGTGGCCTCATTCGTCTTCTGGTCGGTTTTCGGTGAAATCGCTTTACGATAAAATTATTTCGGGGACTTTACTTCCAAATATAAGTGGATCTGGAGGGTGCGCATTCCTCCTAAGATCAAGATCTTTCTCTGGCAAGCTACTCGCGGGCGGCTCCTGACCGGTGATTAGATTCGCAAGCGTAATGGGCCTGGGTCTGATGTTGCGCTCTCTGTGGGATGAGAGAAGATACTTTGCATATTTTCTTCTCCTGTGTTCTGGCTAAGTTATTCTGGTGCTGCATCAGATCCTGGCTGCACGTTCCTTGGAGACCATCTTCCTTCTCTGATCTCCGTCTTTTGGCCAACAATCTGGTCGGGGCCCAAAGGAGAATTTTCTGGGTGTGCTTTGCTGCTATGTGCTGGTCCCTGTGGACGACCAGGAACAAATTTACTATCGAGCATGTTTTCCTTGCTAAACCTACTAATTGCTTATTTAAAACTTGCGTGTTCTTGCAGCAGTGGAGATTATTGATTAAGGAGGCGGATCGAGACGTGCTTGATATGATGGTTTCCAAGATCCGGGCTTCTGCTATCTCCCTATCTCCTACCCGTGCCGGCAACTAGGTGTTGATGGCCCTATGTTTGGTGTCTTTTGTCTCTCCGGCCTGCGCGCCGTGTACTGGCCTGGGAGCCATGTACGATACTTTCTCCTTTCATTCGTGCTGGGTGCTACTCTTGTTATGTCTATGTTGTCCGTCCTGCTGTTTAACTCTGCCTGGTGGCTTTATTTATAAAGTCGGGCCTCAGCCTTTTATCTAAAAAGAAAGTTGATGAGAGTCACGACACTTGCTGCTCCTCCTGCATCCCCTATATGCGCAGGGCCATGGAAATTGTTCTCCAGTAAATGAGACAAAGCACCAAACAGAGCTTCCTCTGTGAAGCCAGGCATGTTCATCACTACAAGCACCATTTGGATGCACCTCATCGATCACAGTACCAATACTTGCTGATCCTGAACATCATTGTTCATCACTACAAGCACCATACAGCACATTTGGACACACCTCATCAATCACAGTACAAATACTCGGTGATCCTGGGCATTGTTCATCACTAGAAGCATGCGCAAGATTTAACCGAGAGCCGTGTTCATCCGATCATCTAACCCATTTCACTTTCAGAACCTTAACACTGACCATCCGATCCAATCTACAACGTGAGCACTTCCAGTTACAAGTCCGGCAATAACAAAGACTGACAAATATTACTTACTGATGTCTGAAGTGGAGACATAATCCTTTAGAAAATATACACAATTAAATCCTGCATAGATCACATATCGACCATATATTGCTGGGCTCAACGAGTGCTCTTCAACTAATCGTCAAAAATAGTATTAGAAATGGCCCATTGGGATTCATTGGTGCAACCAAGCCGTGTACATGAAAATGGAGGAATTTATACAACGTGGTTGTTACATGAAAAACAATAAGTGGTACAAATAGAAGAAACGATACAACAATTTGAGAAATCCTAGTCTACATGCAACTTTGCGAGTTGACACCTATACAACACATTAGACTCATGATATAAACTAGAAGTCATAAACAACGCTGTTGGCGTATTTGGGAAGGCTGCATGAAACTGTCACCTAGGTCCCGACAGATGTGTTGCCGAAGGCAGGTATGAGCAAATTTGCATCTCAACATCGCTCTGATTTGGTTCATGATTAGCAACAAGATCATAGTGAGGTGTGGCCTCTAAAGTCATCGCACCTTCCAACACCTTGGCAACTGTTGACATCAGAGGCCTCTTGCTGCTATCAACCTGTAAGCACCACATTGCGAGCTCCATCATTTCTCTAACCTCCTCCATGTGAAATTGCATGTCGTTGCTGCTCGTATCCACCAAATCGAATAACTTTCCACATCTAGCCTTTTCTTGCAGAAGACTGATTAGGTGAACTCGCTCTTCAGGTTGTGATTCGTCCAGGTTCCTTCGCCCACATATAATTTCAACTATGACAATTCCAAAGCTGTAGATGTCTACCTTCTCGGTGATCTTCGAACCTAGCCACTCAGGTGCAAGATATCCACGTGTGCCTCGCATCCGAGTCATGATCTTGCTATCGTCCCTACTTATCAATTTCGATAATCCAAAATCCGAGACCTTCGCATTAAACCTGTCATCCAGAAGAATGTTCTGTGGCTTGATGTCTAGGTGAGCAATCCTTTGTTCACATTCTTCATGGAGATAAGACAGACCCTTGGCAATACCCATGATGATATTACACCTTGTCTTCCATGAGAGTGTAAAAACTGGATGTGCATGGAATATCCATTTATCCAATGAACTATTGCTCATATACTCGTACACAAGTAGCCTGCTCGATTTTTCAGCACAAAATCCAATTAACCTGACAAGATTAATGTGATGAATTCTTCCTATGGTCTCAACTTCTGCTAAGAACTCCTGCTTTCCTTGATCGACCCCTTCTAAGCGCTTGACAGCTATCGTTTCCTTGCCTATTTTACCTTTGAAGACAGAGCCAAACCCTCCAGATCCAAGCCTCATCGAGAAGTTCCTTGTGGCTATCTTCAGCTCGTTATAGGAGAAGCGTGCTGGTACTCCAGGTATTCCTCCAAGGAAGCATTCTTCCTCCTCCGTTTTCTTACATTTTCTCCAAGTGAAAATGGAGATGGCAGTTGCAAATAAAGCAAAACTACCAACTGCAGAACCAATGGCAATGTTGGTCCTTCTTTTCATGGTGCCCTGTATTTTGAAAAATACTGAAGTACGATGAGAAGAATTTGTAGTTTGAGAAAGTAGTGAGGCCTGTGATAAATGCAAACAAGAGCCAGTAATTCCATCATGGTCATCGTATTGAAATAATGCAACTTTGCAAGAGCACTCTTCTAAGCAAGATTGCTTGCAGTCCGCATCTGTAGCAGAAGTAGCCAATGATTGGAAGGCATCATCACTGAAGTAAGAAATGTTGCTAATAGGTACAAGTTGATGATAGCGCATGTCATTGCAAGAAGACAGATTAGTCCATGGTAGACACCCCATATCTGGACGCCATTCATCTTGGAGTCTAAAATAGTGAGAGCTGGGACAGCAACACTGCCCATTTATACAAACACTGTATTCACCACAGGCTAGAGGATAATCACAAAACTTGATTTCATTGCTTAGCACATCGAACACCACGTGGAAGGCAGCCTCCTTCATTTCATATAGACGAAAATGACCATCAAACTCTAACCGCATGAACTGAAATGACCTTGCAAGGGGCAATGAGAAGACCAGTTTGGGAAATCCAAAGCTGCCATTGGTAAATGCATAACAATCTGATGTCCCATTGCCTAGAGAAGTTGGTTGGAATACTTGTGTGTACGCGGCAGAGCCAAAATAAAACTGCAATCCATTTGATGAGGTATGAAGATTGATCTGACCTGATGCCCAACTGGTGAATGAATCATTGGCAGTGAGATTAGCTCCCGCGCATAGCAACTGCCCGATCACCAATGTATCTGTTGGGTAGTCAAAGGACTCCCAGACAGAGACATTGTTTTGATCAAAAAGCACGAGGTTTCCAGAACCATCGAGGCGCATACCAACTACGGAGGCGTCCTTTGTCGGTGTGGACCAGACAAAGGTGCCAACATTGTTTTGAAGAATTAACTGACCAGCCCCAGTGAAAGAAAGGATGTCATCCCTGCCTACGGGGAAGTTGCGGTTCGCAGACCAGATAACCTGGGGATGGCCAATAATACTATCCCCATAGCCACCGTAGTAGCTCATCATGACGCAAAGGATAAACACAGAACCATCTGTGCTGTAGAAACCAAAGCTAGCAAGGGTGTCGGAACTTCTACTCTGGAGGAATAAGCGAGCACTAGAGTTTCCACTCAAGTTGATGGCTGGATACTGCAGCAGACTTGTGTTTGTTGGGATAGAGCTGGATAAAGCATGGGCAAACGGAAACTGGTGGAGGGAGTAAACAAATAGGAACAAGAGAGTGATGATCAACACATGTAATGACTGCATGGTATTATCATGTATACGAATCATCAAAGAGGAGGTAGCTGTTTGGTGCAGAGAAGCCCCAAACAGGTTGTACAGGATATGCAGAGTGCGGTCTTCTTGGGCCTTGGAGCCACATATGAACGGCCATGGAGTCACAAGGAAGCCGATGAGCATACCATAACTGCAAGACTATTCCATTATTTGACCATTTGATTTTTTTTTTGACCATTTGCAAAGCGGAGTAGAACAATTGTTGGTTGCTTTCATGTGGCGGGCTGGACTGTTCTAAGTGGGAGAAAGCAAAGAATTCCAGCTCTATTAGTGGACTTTTCTAGCCTAGCCTTTAAATGAGTTGTTGCCAATCACATCACCAATGTATCAGAGAAACAGGGCTTTTGGGGGCTAAAAACTAAAAATAAAAGAACATATCCAGAATGGAAAATAACCGGCATGTAACAGTATATGAAATTGCTTGATTTTGTATTGCGATTGTAAAAATAAGCAAATTTTTTTTGCTATATGTTGAGATGGATTGATCTCACGAAGAATAAGAAAATACCATTTGTCTTTCCTGCGAAAGTGACGCTTTTGGCATCCATGACACGACTGTTAATTTACGGCGTGGATAAACACAGCCAAGTCCTTCGCGGCAAGTACCTCCAGTCAAAAACCTTGTCACAGGTCACAGTAAGGCCTACCGACTCGCCCTTCTGGAAGGGTCTCATGAAGGTCAAGCAGGCTTTGTTTAATAGGACAAAGTTTGTTGTTGGAAACGGCACGAGTACACGTTTCTGGGAAGATACTTGGCTCGGTGACACACCCTTAGCCATCCAATATCCCTCTTTGTACCGCATTGTTCGACGACGTGAGGTGTCCGTTGCATCGGTCTTTCAATCTATCCCCCTTAATATACAGTTCAGACGAGTGTTAGCGGGCAATCGTTGGGAAGAATGGCTCCGTCTGGTTAGGAGACTGATGGAAGTACAGCTTTCTCAACAACCCGATGAATTACGCTGGAAGTTGACTAAGTCTGGAGTATTCACGGTTAAATCAATGTATATTGATGTAATTAATTTGAACTCCATTCCTATGTCCAAACATGTGTGGGATGTCAAAGTTCCTTTGAAAATAAAAGTGTTTATGTGGTTTGTCCATAAACAAGTAATTTTAACTAAGGATAACTTGATGAAGCGTAATTGGACAGGACCTACTAGGTGTAGTTTCTGCGATCGGGATGAGACTATTAAACACCTATTTTTTGATTGCCCGCTGGCCAAGGTACTTTGGCAGACGGTCCACATTGCTTTCAATATCAAACCCCCGACTTCTGTTTATGCGTTCTTTGGGACATGGCTTAATGGGTTTGAGTCTAACGTAGCGAGACATATTCGGGTTGGGGCTTGTGCTTTGTTGTGGACTATCTGTAATTGCAGAAATGATTTGGTCTTTAACAGAATATCATGTATACAATTTTTGCAGGTTTTATTCCGGACTACGGCACTGATTCGTTCGTGGTCGCCACTCACCCAGACGGAGGCCAGGGAGCATTTGGTTACTGGGTCTGTCCGCTGGGAGATGGTAGCTCGGGATATCTTCAACCGGTTTGGATGGCGGTCATGTAATAGGATAGGCATTTAGTGTTCCTATCTACTTTACCCGGCCGGTTGTGGCATCTTGATTTGGCTAGTTGTTGTTTCTAGCCTTTTTTGGCTCTGTGTGAGCTTTTTCTACTTTTCTACGACCATTGAAACCATGTTGGCACTACTTCATTTTTTAATAAGAGGGCCGTATGCATCGTGCTGATGCAGAGGCCGGGGTTTTTTTCCCCCTTTTCGAAAAAAAAGAAGAAAAAACACAGCCAAGAAGCATCATGCCCTGGAACTAAAGGTAGCAGTGATGCATGCTAATTACCCGCGGAAGATATTTTCCTCGAACAACAGAAATGGTAATTAATTGGAGAAGGCCACTAGCAGCATTGTGAAGTGATGTGAGTTTCGGATGTTGCGGTGCTGTGGATGGTGCCTGTGGAGAAGGCTTTTTATTTGGTTTCTTGAATAATGGAGAAGGGCATTTTCATCTCAGGACATGGGTGCTTCGATGTAATTAAAACTCATGTTGCTCTGCATGCTAGAAGACGTATTCAAAGTTACAAACAAGTTGCAGCCGCGTGCCAAACTGGTTTCTTTCTGGTCAACAATCAACAATGGCAACTAGGTGCAGGCATTGTACAACCTGGATCTTCTGGAAGAAGAAGAGTAGGACTAGGATGGGAACATCATTCAAGCCATGGACCAAACAACTATGGATTAAATTGGCTCAATCTTTCTGCACCACGGAATCTTGTTTCTCAGTGAAAAGGAATTGGAATGTGGGGGAAATTATTGAGAGTAGTAAAAAGCTAAAACTTGCCGTGCAGTACAGGATTTCCCTTACCTGAGTGACCTGCGTCCGGCGGCTCCGCACATCGCCGGCACGCGAGGAGGACGACGGCGCCGGTGGCTGGACTCCTCCCCTCCCCACCTCCTGGTCGCGCACACCTCCATTATCGACAGATCGAAATGCACTCCGGCGACAGGTAGCACACGCCTGGGGAGAGGAGGATGGAAGGATGCGGGGGAGGAGTGCAGCTCCGACGAGGGACACTCGATTTGGGGGTCGGGACTCGGGAGAAGCGGATGCGCTCGACGGGGAAGAGTTTTTTCTTTTTTTGCGTATTTGGGGGAAGAGGTCAGGAGTCCACCAAACGCGGGCCATCCCAGTGCAGGATCTAGCGCTGCCAGTTTCGTTTCTCCTTTTCTTTTTCCAAAAACAAAATTCAAAAAAAATTCAAGAATTGTAAAAGTGTTCACGAAGTTCAAAACTGTTTTATATTTTAATAATATTTTATATAGTTCAAAAAATGTTCATTAATATATTAAAAATGTTTGCAAGTTCGAAGAACATTTGTGATTTCAAAAGATGTTAGCCACTTTGAAAAATGTTTCAGAATTTCAAAAAATGTCGGAGATTCCAAAAGTGTTTGAAAATTATATAAATATTCATGAATTACAAAATATTCGTGGATTTGAAGATATTAATGAATTTATAAATTGTTCATGAATTTGATAATCATACACGATTTCACAAAAAATCCTTGTGAATTTGAAAAATGTTCATGATCTCCAAAATTGTTCGTGAAATAACTTTTAACAAAAGGAAAAGAATAAAAAAATGTTTGCTACCATGACATCCTTCTTGAGCTCGCTTTTGGCAATATAGGCAGGGGCGGAGCTTTGTTGGGGCCAAACTGGGCCATGGCCCGCCCAGGTTTTTTACACTTTTGATTTTACCTATGCATCGAAGGAAAGCCCACCTGCAGCCTAGTAAGGATACGATCGATCCAAAGCACTCGAGGTCTCTCGCTCGCAAGTCCCAGCTTTCTCGCACGCAGCCGCTCCTGCTGTTTCTCACGGCCGCATCAGGCAGGAGACAGAGACATCGGCCAATCAAGCAACCACTCCATCTAATTTCCCTGTAATTACGATTCAGCAAGAGATCACAGCTAATCTAATTTGTTTTCCCAAATTCTGAGTTCAACGATGTAGTTAGATACAGACTGTCTATATGCTTATTTTGTCCATGATATAGTCCTGGTTGTTCCACTCAACTGAGGGACATGGATTAGATGCAAATAGTACTACATTGTACATCTAATTTTCCTGCAATTGCTTCATTAGATATCCTGATTTTCCACTCAGTTGTTCTTTGCATTTTACATATCACAGCATATGTTGGGTAGCCATAAGCAATGGTAAACAAGCTCACTCACACGGTCACACCTAGAGAAGAATTGATTTGGTTTTCAAAAGAAAAAAAGATCATTTCAAAATTCAATTGATATATACATATATTCTCACTCCACCTGTATTAGAGACTAAATGCATATATATGACCCAGAATTTCAAAAAAAAAATCGGTGCTCTCCTTTGTCTGGCCCGCCCAACATTTTCTTTGAAGCTCCGCCACTGAATATAGGCGCTATTGATTACACATAGGTGGACTCAGTATCCATCGAGCTTGTATAGGTGGAACAGGTTGAAGATGTCTTCGAATGGCACATAGAACTAACCCATAGCTGTCCGCCATGGCGTACCAGACCAGCCCGGGTGGCCACAACGTCGCCGCCACCGGAACGCAGCAGTACGCCCTGAGGCCGGATGGGTTCGACAGCCAGAACTAGGCATCACTCGGCTTCAACAGCAACTTCGTCTTCTCCGGGTCTGGGTACGACAACCCGACAATGTTCTACATGAGCAAGCAGCAGCAGAGGCAGAACAATGCGATGCACGCGTCGAGCGCCAAGAAGGAGCCAAACGAGGAGGACATTTTCTTCCAGATGTCAGAAATGGCAAACGACACGACAAAATGGCCCACAAACTCCGGGCGACTCTACAAACCTGGGGCCTCTTCCTAGTAAGTGGGGGCCGATTGCTAGGCGGGGAGTTCGGTTCAAGGCCCCCCGCTTGCTGCAAAGACAACAACGCGGCATGGCGACTGGGCGTGACCATGGCATGTTTGTTTCAGCTTTGGGGCAGTTTTTAGACCCAAGAAAGCTGAAGCTGAAACAAACAACTATTTTAGAACAGCTGTGGAACCACTGCTCAAAACTGTTTCGGGATATTTTCAGTGTAACAGCCCAAAACACGTGTTGGAGTACTTCATCACAGTCAAAGTTGTTTCCCTCAGAAGACCTCCGAGGGAATGGCTCCTCCTTCCTTTCTCCCTCCCCTCCCTTCCCCTCCTTCTCCTCCTCGCCTCGGCAGAACTGCTCCCCGCCCTTCCCCGGTGGCCGGCGTCCGGTCGCCCTCACCTTCATGCGTAGCTCCCCTCCCCCTATCCTCTCCTGTTTCCCCGCAGGTGGATCTCTCCCCCTCTCTCTCTTCGCTGCCGGTTCTTGGATCTCGTTTTTGGGCGCTGCTATCGGATGAGGAGGATTCGCGGTCTCTACCTTCCTCCCCCGATGGTGCGGTGACCTGCTCTGGGGAGGTGGGGGTCACCTGCGCCGCCCCTCGCCCTCGTAAGTTTGCCCCCGGGGGTCGGGGCCGGCAGTTGGGGGTGCCTCCGTCGGCCGACGGCTGGCTCCGGGTCTCGCACCGTCGGCGTAGATCTGGTAAGCTTGCGTTCGCGTCCCCTGC